GGAGCAAGGCAAGAGTTTTGCAATCTGGTTATAAGCTAGTTCCACTTTCACCTCAGCCAATATAATGCCAAATACAATGGCGTTATAATGCAAGCATGGTGTCATCTTGTTGTTTCACAACCCACATGGAGGGATGGTCCTTAACATTCATAAAAGGAAGCTTCCTTGTACCAACAGGACCTGAGCTGCCCTGCCTGTGGTAATGGGGTGATTTAGGAAGCTGTCATAGGCCCTAGGAGAAAGAGGCAGATTGGGGTGGGGTGGGGTGGAAAAGGGAAGAGGAAATGCCCTGATTCAGAGTTATGGATTGGTAAGCAAAGCAACAGCAGATGGTTGTGGATAGAAGAGCATGAAGGAGCCATAAGGCAACGTTAGTCATCGTGATTAAGCCCCAAGAGTGTCTACACTGGCAGTTATTTGGTTTACTTGTTTGTAGACACACATTTCAGGAGCTCAGAGGAGATGTGAAAAGGGGTGACAGCAGATGAGTGTGGCTGTCCTCAGAAGGCTCCTCCCTGGCAAGAGCAGTCGTGCAGGTACAGCCCAACAATGCCTGTGTGGGCAGCTGCCAAGGGAGGGCTGGCACGGGCCTCCATGCCTCCCAGGCCACTGGGAACAGGGAAACCCAGGACAGCTGAAGAGCTGGGAAGGCATGGCAAGTGAGAGGAAGCCAAAAAATCAAGCATGAGGACGACCCAGACCAGCATCATTTTGAGGGGTTTCTTCAGAACTCTCCTATGAAGGGTAGAGGAAAGGGCAATGGGCTATGTGAGATGTCAGGATGAGACAAGACTGCACATCAGCAGGACAGGACAAGATTGTAGGGATGGGGATGTAGATGGAGTTGTAGGATGCCTTGCAAGACAGCCAGGGTGGAAGGACCAGTTGCCTGGTAGCCCTAATTGCAGGCCATGTGGGGAGACCTCAATCCCCCACAAGCAGTGGGGATTGTGGACAAGAACAATAGCATTGCTGAGCTTGAGCTTTTGGGAGCCCTCCATAAAGAAACAACACAGAAACAGAATTAAATTTTTATTTGGACTGGAGAAGATGGATTTAAAGGTAAGGCACAGGTTGATTTACGTTCAGCATAAAGACAGTGGTTGGACATTTGTTGGTAGATGAGGTTGGGCACCTCAGAGAGGTCCTGTTTCCTCCCAAAGAGGAAAGAGAACTGTTGAGGAAAGAAGTGCCAACCTGAATGAAAGCAGGTTTACTTCATCTTCATAACAGCATTTCCACCTGATGTACTCTGCAGGGCCTATGCTGAGAGAGAGAAGGAAAAACTAAGGGTGGGATCTGTGTCTTCATATTTTATGGATCTCTCCCTCTCTTTCAGGGGAGTCAGGAACAGCCCTGCAGCAGATACATCCTGAAAAGAACATCAGCTGTCATCCTCACACACAGCAGTCCTGCATCTGTTTGGGGAAGCTACCAACCCTCTTGCCGGTCTGTAGGATGGGGTTGGAATGGGATGTAGTGGGATACATGTTAGGAAGAGCTCACCACACTGAGCTCTCCCATTTGCATGGACCTTTACAGTCCTGCCAGACAGAAAGCAGCATAACTAGGTAGAGCTTCCCAGAAGGGAAATTACAGCCCAAATATGTTTTCTGTATAGGAAATCCAAAAGAAGAAGAAGAAGGGGAAAAAAAAGAAGCCCTTATCTATATTTATAAGATGAAGCTTTTCCTACACGAATAAACCTCTTAACACATTTTTCTGGGCGCTGAGGTTATATATTTAATAGGTTTTTCTGGTATCACTTAAAAGTAGATCACCACCATGCAATGACGCCTGCTGCACTCTTTTTCTGGCATCCTCACGAGCTCCCTTCACCCGTGCCCCCAGTAACTAGAGCACCGTGTGTTATTCTCACCACACTCAGAGAGAATTTTTCCTTTACTTAGGAACTTCTCCTGCAGAGCTGCTTGGTCAACTCCCTGTTTTTGGCCCTCCGTGCTTTCTTCTCTCCAACTCAACCAAGAGCAGAGGAGGCACTCTCCAGAAGAGGAGGGAAAGCACATACCCAGCTGAAATCCTCCTCCTAGCTCTTGCTTGGCATCCTAGGGCTGCAGATCAGCTGTTCTGCCCTGGAGTGCAGATTGTGGATAGCAGAAACACGCACAGGCCTCCAGTGAAATGGCACCATGGCCTCTCATGCTGTGGGCAGTGTGGCTAATGCCTATATTGCACCTTTACAGAGCAATGAGAAAAGAAGCAGCTGCCTTACAGCATTCCAGGTGTCTCTAGCCACCTCCTTATCCAGAGAACAGCTCTCAAGGCCTGCCTGAGGAGCCTCTCCTGCCTGAGGAGCCTCTCCTGTGCACTGCTTTGGTGCCCTGGTGAGTGCTGCAGCACAAGCATCCTTCCCAGCAAGGTGCTACAAATTAGTGATGGACATACTGAAGCACACAAACCAGTCCTTAAGAACTAAAACCCTGCAGGGCTGTCTCACCCTCCAGCCAAGACTGCTTTGGTTTCCTTCCTCCTAGAGCCTGCAGTTCTGTATTGCAATGCAAAGGGCACAGATCTTTCTGGCATGGCAGAAAATGTTGACAGGAGCGATGTTAGCTGTAGGCAACCAAAAAGAGAGTGCATCCATCGTGCTCAGGGCCAGCTCTGTGGAGTAAGTGATTTGTAACCAGTACATCTCTGCTTTCCACTTTTCAGACTTGGCATTTGGACTTTTGTCTAACCTCTATCCCCTTCTTGCTACGTGGTGGGCAGAAGTTTCATTTTGTTGCTTTATTGTCTCTCAGCTCCTTATTAAATACAATAAGTTAAAACCATTGCCTTTACAGCCATCCCTCAAGAGGGAAGGAGTGAGTTACTGTGGTGGCACTCCTGTGTTCCTGACCTAGGAGAGGAAAAATTGTGGGACTGCTCTCCTTTGCCTCTGCAAGGAATAAATATCTTGAACTGATTCTTGAGCTGTGGCGTACTGTAGTCTTCTCACTGTTTCCTCCATTCACTTCCCACTCTTTGAGACAAAATAACTGCCTCTTCATCTAAAGAGATTTATCTATTCACTTTCCTGCACGGACAGAAAAAAACCCATTTCTTCCCCCGCAACAATGCAGCTAACTCTGGGGTAGAGCTTGACAGCTATTTCACAGCACAGAAGGAGTGGCAGGGAAAATGCAGTTGTTTTTCCCTGCAGAGATGGAACAGCGGATTGGGATGGCAAAAACTGCAATTTAACTGGAACCTTGAGAAATCCTTCACGGTTTTCAGAACTTAGCCCAAAGAAAAAAAAAAGGGAGCTGCCAGTAAAGGCTGAGTCGCCAAAGCAGAGGCTGATTCAAAGGGAAGGGCTCTCTTCAGTGAAGTGCAACACTGCCTGCTGGAGCACCCACATGCTCCTTAGATGTCCTTTCATCCACCTTGTGAGTAAGCCCATTTCTGCTTACCTGTGAAAGGGGCAGTGTCAGAGGCAGGAGCAGCAGGAGCAGCAGGAAAGGTGTGGGTCCCTGCTCCTTCTCATGGCCCAGATGCAGCTCTCACACACAGCATCCATCTCGCCTGACCTGATCAGAGGGCGTCACACCCCTGTGTGAACTGATCACAAGGGCTCTTCCTCCTGGTATCACATCTAACATATGCATCAAGCAACATTTCCCCTTCCCACCGTTTCCCTGGGCAAACCTGCTCCAAAAAATGAGAGGTTCAGCAGAACTGGATCTCCACCAGAGCTGGTTCAGGGACCGTGTCTCTCTGAGGGCACAGTAAGGTGAAAGTACCGAGGAATCTCAGTGATAAGCTCAATATAATTATGTGCTCAAGACATTCCAGATAATTCGGGGTTTCTGAGCTTCTGACTGTACAAAAGCAAATTATCTCTACACTGCTAAGAGTGGAAGGTCAGAACACAGGAGAGGTAGGCGAGTTAAGCAAAAAATCAGCCTTCAGTGGGACCTCATCTATCAACGTCATTCACATCTAAAGTAGTAAACAGAGTAGATGTTCTGTGCATATCCTCAAGGAGAAATCCAGCTGACAGCCCTGTGTCATCCCTGTCTGCCAGCCTCCTCTGCTCCCTCAGTGGGAGGCACACAAGGAATTACACACACAAACATCCCTGTGTGACACTGTGAGTCAGAAGGGGGGAGCCACTCCTCAGTTTCTCAAAACACCAGGAACCCCAGCTCCTCTGAGTTCTGGATGTCCTTGCTCGCACTGATAACATCTCTGTGGTCCCAGCCTCCTCCAGAGGCCACCAGAAGCAGAGTCTGGCTGGAAGCATTTGGCAGAAGAGGTCTCTGAGCAAAAGAGGGTGGATCAGAAGGTGAAAGAGTGACTGTTGCATTATGCAGCATCCACTCCCAACAAGGGAGTTAGATTTTGATCTGCTTGCTGAAGTTTGCTATTTCTGCTCTGGTACCTGGAGGTCAGCTTGGTGCCAACATCTGTATAACATCAAACATTTGCATCCATATGGAGAATGTATAATTAAAGCTTTCTGCAGACAACTGTGAAAACTTTCTCATATTCTCCCTAAATTGCATTGCAACCCCCAGATGAGGGCTGGGAGCCAAAATGTAAAAAGTCTGGCATAAATATTTAAATAACTTGAGATACGTATTCTTTAACTATTAGCTAATTATTCTGTGCCAGCCATAAATGGCATCTGGTTCCTCACACAAGGATGCTGCAGGTTGGGCACATAAGTGGGAAATGAAACGTGACTTCATGCTAATTAATATTAATGAACGGATGGAGAACCAGCATCTCTTTGAAAATATCAGCTCAACAGGAGCCCAAGTGTGATTCATTATGATTATTGCTGGGGTGACAGCCACTACCAATCTCAGAAAACCTCTGTTTCATGTAGCATCTCTTCAGGAAGGGCTTAATTGGCTGCCAGAAGAAGTGTGGGTGAGCAGGGGAGGTGCTTTCACACCATCCTGCAGGTATGTGCTTTATTATTGCCCTGCAATGAGAGGAATAGCAACAATTCCTTTAGTGTGTGCTTGCTGTGGTTACCTTCCTTTGCTTGGTTTGCTGAGGCAAGAGCTGAAGCCTGCTGTCAAAATCCTGCTATGTTTACTCCCATCCCTAAAAATCAAGTCCTTTTCTTTATCCCTCAGTCCCTCTCCCACCAAACTCAGTCCCTTACTCCCCAGACACCACCCACATTTTCCAGAGTGCCTTGGCAACCAGCTAGCTCAGCTCTGAAGCCTGGAACCTGATCGGAGAGTGTTTTGCCTGGGAAGGAGGAAGTTTGTTCTCTTCTCTCACACACCACCATCTCTGGGATGTGCTCACCATGATGCCAGGGGAAAGTCTGGATGGTTACCTGGGCAGGTTTATTCCTTAGCTAACACACAGTGACGGGAATTGCCAATTTCTGGTCTCTTCTTTCAAGCCTGGGTGGGTTGTTCTCCATTCCTGAAGCTCACTCAATCCTTACCTGGGAATGTTTGTCCTCATATGGAGGTCTTGGACCATCAGCAGTTGGTGGCCTGTGGCTTTGCTTAGCTGTCATGTTTGTACACCACACTGATAGATCTGCAGCTTTAAGTAGGGCTCAAATGGAAATGCTGGACAATCTCTTTCCTAAAGCCTGTTAAGTCAAGGGAAAGGTCTCCAAGTTGGTTTCTGCCCTTGAAGCAGCTCTTAAACTTCTGTTATTATGTACATTTGGGAAGGATGTTGGGCTTTTGGATTGCATCAATCTTTTTGGAACCTAGGAGTTACCACTCATCCCATCATTTGCCAACTATTTCTCTGCTGTGCTCTCTATTTCTCGGTCAATTTTCTACTAACAGCTGACTAGTCCACCAGCTAATTTCTCTCTGGTCTTGAACAAATATCAGCAAAACTCAGCTGAAGCTGCAAGCCTGGTGCAGCTTTACACTACAATTTTCCTGAATCAGGCAAGTACAAAGACCCAGTAGGACCAAGCACAGATCTCCAGAAAGGATAGGAGACCACCACAACTGAATCATCACTGTATTTCCCACTAGTACAGCTTTAACACTGCTCCTCTTGCATTATCTTCACCACTCCCTTAAGTCTTTGTAAATCAGTCATGTCACTGTGATGATTAACAGAGAGAAGTTGCACACAATTGGTGTGCAACTTGTACTGGGGGCTTCAGATGGGAATGGGAAGCTGGATCTAGGAATCCTTCCCTGAGGTAGTTCATCATGTCTTGTGATTTCATGCAAACCCCTTATATTTCTTCCCATCTTGCTCAAGACTGGATGGGAAAGTGGGTTAACAAAAATGTAAGGAATCCCTCAATGCAGCAGAGACTGCTTCAGAGCCAAGTTTCCCAGGGGAAATAAATGATGAACAAAAACAAACAACAGCACAGCTCAAACGATTCCTCCCCTCACCACAGTCCTGAGATTTCATAATTGCTCCCTTCATGGCCATTTTGGTTTGTAATATGCAGAGTAAAGATTTCCATTATAGCTGTGTTTACTTAATCACTATAATTTTTTTAAGCGAAGTTCAGGCAGTTGAACTGCCAGCCCCAAGCAAATTAGCCATCAGCCAGTTGCACTGGAAGCTGTTCTGTTGTGATCCTGAGCACAGGGTTTGCTCCCCAGCAGCCTCCTAATTCTCAGATGGATCACCCACCTCTGGGAATGAGAAGGATATTTGGCATGTTACCCCCTTTACCCGATCAGGCAAGAAAAGCAGGGTGTTTGTGTTTATGTGTAAAAAAGTCAGTCTCAGAATGGGATGATCATGTGGACATTTGGGACCAGTCTGACATTCATCAGAGAGGAGCCAGAGAATGGACAAATGTAGATTTCATTTCAGAAAGCAGCAGGACATTGACTACATCTGCAGAATAGTTTTTCCAGTGAGGTTACATTGAATATTCTCATCGTGCATGGCACAATATCCCAGCATGAATATTTAATCATGCAGGGCAAATACAAGTGGACTGAAATTATAAGTGATGACAACTTTCAGATGACCTAGGCCCAGACTAGAATTTGTGATTTCAAATGGGAAATTCCACCTCCCATTCCTGTCCTCCTGAGACATTGATCTCTGATTATGGGAGGTGGGAAACACCTTGGCCTTTAGAAAAGAGGCACAGAGGATTCAGCCAAATGGGACAAACACATGGAAACAGTCAGTACCTGCAGCTGCTGGGAGGGAGGCACCTCCCTGGTCAGGATGTGTGAGATTTGCTGTCATCCAAGGCAGTCAACGTTTTCTTGGCACTCTCATGGTTTCCAGTGCCCCACATCAAAGCCAGGCTCAAAACCAAACCAGATTTCCATTGTTATTGTCAAGCTGGATTGGCCTGAGCTGCTGGGCAAAGCCACCCCACTCTGTGTGCTTGTAACCTTTTGGAAATACAAGATCCAGCTTCTGAGAGAAGCCTCAGGAGTGCAGTAGATGTTCTTCTTTGGCCCCAGTGTATCTCCAGCACAGCTGTCAGGTTATTCTCATGGGCACTTTCACACAGGCCTTTCTGCAGGTTCTCCATCCTCACCTGCCACGCTTCCCAAAGTCTCTACAGGTGACAGGGAAAGGAGAAAAAAGAACTGGCTGTGCATCGAATGACAGAATCATTAATGTTGGAAAAGACTCCAAGATCCTAAAGTCCAACCTTTGACCAATCACCACCTAAAGCACCTTAAGTCAACTACACCACAGCCCTAAGTGCCACGTCCAGCCATTTCTTGTACTCTTCTAGGGATGGCAACTTTCCCATCTTCCTGGGCAGCCCATTCCCATGGTTATCCACTCTTGCCTTTAATAAATCCTTCCTGATGTCCACCCTGAACCCCCTCTGGTACAGCTTAAGGCCATGTCCCCTTCTCCTGTCACTTGCTGCCTGGGAAAAACCAAACCCACCCAGCTACATCCTTTTTTCAGGTAGTAGAGAGTGAAAGTGTCTCTCTTGAGCTCTCCAGGCTGAACACTCCAGATCTCTCCCCAGAATTGTGCTCCAGACTCTCCCCCAGCTCCATTGCTTTCCTCTGGACTTGCTCCAACCCTTCAATGCCTTTCTTGCAGTGAGGGGCCCCTTGGTTTTGGGGGAGACTACAGACCAGCTCTACCACAATATCAGGTGCATAAATCCCATAAAAACAACAGAAATGAGCAAGTTCAGTTCTCCTGCCAGGAGCTACCCCAGCACTGGGGCTCAGTGCATGATGAGACAAAAAGCATACACACCATCAAGAAAACAGGGTGTTAACAAGCTCATTCCTTTTTGCGGTAAGAAGGTCAAATTCCTCCAGTCCCATGTTTAAATCACTGTACCTCATTTCCTACTTTCTGCTGATGGGAATATAATTCAGTCACTTCAGCAAGGTTGCCAGGCACTGGTGAATGGTCCCTGCATTGACAGCTCCAAGCATTATCCCCATTTCCTAGTGGGAGAGATTCAGAAAGTTCAATATCACCTCTCTTTGCAGAAACAAATCCACATAAAGTGGAGCTATCATAGCAAATTTTAGTGCACATGTTTGTGTCACAGAGAGGTGGAGGAGGATGCAGGAGAAATTTCACTGTACAGGCAACAGGCAGAAATTAAAAGAGCACCAAGTGGCCAGGTGGTGAGGGAACTCACTTCTGATTTACAATTGCAATGATTGCCATGAATAGGGAGAGGCTGTGATTAAAGACGTGTCTGAAAATAACAGTAATGATTTCCACTTGTATGCCTTTGATCAGGCAATCTCACAGTATTGTACAAATGAAACCTCCCAATATCTCTGTGAGCTTGGAAAGCCTTCTACTGACACGAACGTGTCAGAAATAAATACCAGCTGAATGGTGTTAGACAGGTGATGGCTTAGATATTTCATCCTCTCTTGGAAAAAGAGCTTCTAGAGATGGAATTTGTCCCAATTATAAAAGAGGAATAGATCCTCAGTACGAGCTATATTGGACTACATGCATAAATTACCGTGCAAAATGATCATTCAGCCCATTCAGTTCTCATTCCTGCAGGTGAAAATGCCAATAAGGGAACTAATCACCTGTCTGTGAGGATGATGTTAAAGGATGGAGACATTGCCCATCAAGAGCACCGCTGGGAGTCATCAACTCTGTTCAAACAGGCTGCTGGTAACCATCAGGAGGTAGGAACTGTACTTCCAGTCTGAATGACTGCAGGATCAATTTGAGTGAGCCATCTGGAGTGGAAAAAATGTACATTCCTTACCATGCCCTTGTGCACTGCATTGCCCAGCACAAAACTGGGCAGGGCCATCACACCCAGCCATGAGCCTGATGTGGGATGTCCTGGACACCTCACCCCACCTGGCTCCTGTCAGCCAGGAGGCTCCCAGGCAGCTTTTCCACAGGCTTTGCAGCTAAACCCCATCCAAGGGCAGGAGACATCACTGAGTATTTCCCTTGCAATAGCAGAGTGGGCCCAAAACTAAACAGAGCCTGTAGTTTTTCTGTGGTCAGGCAATTTTTTATGTTTGGAAAGATTGACACAGTTATGTTTGGTCTTGATGGGGTGTTGAGAGGGTTAAATATGGCTCAAAACTTATTTCACTTACAATTATGTTCATCCTCCTGTCACCAAGAAAAAAAGCCAAAATATACTCTGATATTCAGATCTAGCTATTTTAGTTTGCACTCTTCTCTGTTATTCAGTGAATATGAAATTACTTTTCACCAGTTCAGAAGATATTTGTAAAGCATTTTTCACATATAAGTTGTTGAGGTCAGACACCCCAACTTCACTGTTATGCTTGATAACCATAATTCCTGGCCTTCCTCAAGAGCCAGTAATAAGCTTCCTGCATTAATCCTATTTAGATGTTTGATTTGGCTATATCTGTCAGCAGACAGCTTATATAAATACAAGGTTTGAAGGAAAAAAAAATTCCTCATGCTGCACGTAACTAAGAGCAGTTTTTCCTTGGTAAGGAGAATATTACCTAGGTAGTCAAATGCCAGAGATGCTCTCCAGGCGGCCAGAGGAACCTCTCACCAGAAGATAAGGCTATTTAGGGAAATGTCAAAACATCACCCTTAAAAACTTAAAATTTAAGCACATTTTGTGAGAAAAGATGAAGTCTGCCTGAACTCCCCAAAGCCTTTACAAAGGAGCCCAGGTCCAAAGGCAGGCTGCTGGGCCAGGCTGTGTTAGAGGAGAGCAGTGCAGGTGTTGCTGTGTCTGCCTGCTCCCCTCACAGGTGCTCTGTGCAGTGGATCCTGCTGTGTTTAACAGCCTCCCCCACCCCCCTGTAACCTACTTACATATTTTCTGTCAGTCTGCTGGCCTGGTGATCCTGCACTAGTTCAGTCTCTGGCAGCTGCTCCTGGAAGGAGCACATGGCTCCTGTCATTAAAACAGGGTGGGAAAAGGCAAGTTCTCTGCTTGCTCAAAGAAAGAAAAAAAAAAAGGGATGAGGGGAAGGATACCTGTTGCAGACATCTTTTATGGAAAATCCTTTCCTTAGGATTTTTCCTCCTGAGAAGCTGAGAGGCCTCAGGAACAAAATGCAAACATTGATTATCTGCTGCTGTGGAATGCAACAGGTGCATCTGAGATTGGCCCATGTTGGTTGTTTCTAATTAATGGCCAATCACAGTGAGCTGGCTCAGACAGAGTGTCTGAGACAGACCCTTTGTTATCATTCTTTCCTATTCTATTCTTAGCTAGCCTTCTGATGAAATCCTGTCTTCTATTCTTTTAGTATAGTTTTTGTGTAATATATATCATAAAATAATAAATCAAGCCTTGTGAAACACGGAGTCAGATCCTCATCTCTTCCCTCCTCCAGGAACCCCTGTGAACACCACCACAGATACCCTTACCTGCTGACATGAGGGAAAACAAGACAAGGCTTGAGGATGTCACCTCAAAGTTCCTCTTTGGTTGTTAACACAGAGCAGCAGCAGAAGCCATCAGGCCCTGTGCTACCACTCAAGTAACATTAACAATTATGGTCACATGTGGAAAAAAGTGTGGTCACGTTTGATTTCTTCTGGCTTCTTCCTTCTCCTTCAGTTGCCTGGAATAACTCAGCAAGGCACACCAAGTGGAGCCCTCAATTACACGCCCCATTGGCGCCCCCAGTTCTGCAAGCAGCAGCAGCAGCACTCCTTGGAAACATCATTAGGCACAAAGCTCAGCTGAGTTTGTCCTGTCAATTCATTATCTGGGATTTTTATATGAATATGTACATGGTACTGCCACCCTCTGCACTCCTTCTGGTGTACAACCATACCTGATCCTGGTGTATTTTAAGGGGAATCTTCTCAAGGCAGGCACTCCTGGGTAGCACATGCACACCAGAAAGGGGCTGTGGGCTTAAAATTGAGACCAGGCTGATGCTGACAGCTGGGCCAGTGTGAGGGAAACCTCTGTTCCTTATAACCTGACAGTGTGGAAGATGGTTCTGTGCCAGGGGCTGAATCAGTTGGAGGCATCATTAATACATCTGATGCAGTCTCTGTGGGAGTGCACTAGGGTAATTCAGGTTGTGGGTGTCAGAAACAGTGCATTAGTTATGGGGAGGTGGGGGTTGTAATCAGGGAAAAAAGTACAGGATTTTTCTGCAGGTTGTTATGAAATCACTTCGGAGAGCATGCTGCAAGTCATTCTGCTGAGAAACAGAGCATCCAAAGGAGAAACTGCTGTGGGATGCTGGAGAACTCATACACTCGGTGATTGAGGGACAGGTGCAGTGAAAGTTTATCAACTGGCTGAGAAGAGATGGGAGCAGAGGCTGGAGAATGAGGATTACAGAGTCCCTTTTCTCAGGAGAGCTCTGTTTTCAGATAAGCCTGCAAGCACTGCATTGGGAGTCTCACAAATAAATGCTGGGGGCCTGAGCCATAGCCCTCTACAGAGACCCTGCATTAGCATAAAATGAGGGGATTCTGGAGACCTGCACGGGAACGTCACAAGCTGCTGTAGAATCCCCAGGATGCCATTCAGCACTCTATTTTCACTCTACAGCTCTCCTGAAAGATAGGGACATAAATAATGGACTGTAAGGAAAGGAGGGGTGGCTTCTTGCAACTTTCCTCTGCAGGGAAAGTGTTCCTAGAATAAATCCTCAGTTTGGACACTGAATGAAAGAAATCTGGATCTGGTGGGCAGGATGGTGTTAAGGTTGCAGGCAGATACTGGTGGAGCCTTCTGCTGCTTTCTCTCTCCCTAACATTGTTTCCAGAGACAGTAATTGGACATTTAACTTTTATGTTGGTGTAGTAAACTATCCTTGCTGTTAACTCTGTCTGGTAATAAAATATGGTCTCTCTATAAAGAAGATTTTCAAGACCGCTTTTTTTTACAAGGCTTAGGGATTTTTTTTTTCCAGAAAGAATAAAGTGTTTTTCAAGCCTTTCCCAGCCAGAGTTAATTGTGTCATTACCAAGAGCTGGAACACAAGTTTCACATTTTCCCCACAGGGGTTGTGGCCCAGTAACATTCACTGCTTCACCATGAGAAGGGAATTTCCAATCAGTGTGTAGCAGGAGAGGCAGGATCATGGATTCTCATGCTGAGAATAATAATCTGTTCACAGAAAGGGACTGTAAAGGATCCTCCAGGCTGGTGGAGCTGAAGGTACTGTAAGTGCTGGACAGGCTGGCCCCTATAGATTAGTCCAATGGGCCATGAGGCTCAGGAGGAAATTTGGCCATTATTTCTTCTGACAGTGATGGAGGTAGCATGGGGCCCTAGACACTGAGTTACCCATCCTGCCACAGTCATTCTTCCCAGAATGCCATCATTCCTGAGACCATTTAGCATTTCAGTGGTTGCTCTGATCTACTCTGGGCTACCACTTGCTCAATAAACTATAATAAACCTATTAGATAGGTTTGCTGAAGTGTACTGCCACACTGGGACAGAGTCATTTTTCACTGCATTCGGGTTCATCCAAAGCAACGGCCCAGCAGGAATTAATGTTGATGTGATGGAGTGGTGCGGTCTGAAAATGACCTTTTCCTTTCACCCTCACACTCCTTCCTGAGAGCTCTTCTTCCATGGGGCAGGGCAAGTGTGTCTGCAGAGGGATCCCCTCCTCAGATGAACCATGTTATCACCTAGGTCTAGGGAACCACGCTCTGGCAGTTTCTAAATTATGGGCAAAAGAGATTTTTTCTCTCCTCACTATCTGAGGGCTTTTAGCATCTACAGCGTGCCCTTTTCTTTATTAATTAATGTTCTGTTTAAAACATAAGTAGGTTCTTATTTCTGCTCGGAACTTACTATAATACCTCGTCAGCACTTCAGTGCCTCTCCTTTCCCACCAGCCTAAGAGCTGGGTCCAGCTCCTGGTGTGTCACCCTGGCCAGAACTGTGGTTTGCAGCACAGGGCTGGGGGGAACTCACAACCTGGAAAGAAGAGCCTTGCATTGACCTGCACGAGCATAGATGAGCAATGCCAGACCATGGAATGCCTCCTCACCTGGCCCCAGTGCCGGCTGGGAGGTGTCACCACCGGGGCGCTGTCACCACAGCCTGTCCCTGCAGGAGTGTCAGGGGGTAGCACGGTTGGGAAGGACAGAGACGAGAGATCTCTGCAGCCAGGTCATGGAATTTGGGGTTTATTGCAAAGGGCCTGGGTGCAGGGCCCTGCTGAGATTTGGGGTTTATAGCAGAAGGCCTGGGTGCAGGGCCCTGCTGGGATTTGGGGTTTATAGCAGAAGGCCTGGGTGCAGGGCCCTGCTGGGATTTGGGGTTTATTGCAGAGGGCCTGGGTGCAGGGCCCTGCTGGGATTTGGGGTTTATTGCAGAAGGCCTGGGTGCAGGGCCCTGCTGGGATTTGGGGTTTATTGCAGAAGGCCTGGGTGCAGGGCCCTGCTGGGAGCTGCCAGCCACAGCTCAGAGCAGGCCTGAGAGAAGAGAAGGGTAGAGAGGATGAGAGGGTTAGAGAGTAAAAGCATAAAGAGTAAAAGAGTAAGAGAGCAAGAGCATAAGAGAGCAAGGTTCCCGTTACAATACCATACATCTTCTTCTGTGTTGAATATTCTAATTCTCAGTAACCAATCTAGTACAAGATACAAATCCTCTAGCATCTACATACAGCCTATAAGAATCACTACATTACCATACTGTGTTTCATTTTAAACCCTAAAAACTCTTCTTTGGGCCCCTTCTGCCAAGCTGGTAGGGTCTGCTCTGACCCCTGGACATGTCTGCAAGCAGAGGGCATTGTTTTATCAAAAGGGAATTACCTTCAGTCCGGCCACACCATTGTCTTCCAGCTGTTCAGTAACTAAGGCATCTCAAAGCTTGCTTTCATTTCAATCTTGCTT